CTGCCTCCCTGGGAGCGTAATAACCTGGGATACAAGGTCCACAGTTTGGACAACTTGACCATGTTATAGAGCTTCTAGGTCTGTTTCATGAAATCACAGAATAGCTGAGGTTGACAGTAATCTTTGGACATCATCTAGTCCAACCCCACTGCTCATATCAGAGTCAGCTAGAGAGCAGGTTCTTCATGGCTTCAAGTATCTCCAATGATGGAGACATCACAAGCTCTCTGGGTAACCTGGTCCAGTGTTTGACCACTCTCACAATTAAGTCTCTTCTCACACTTAAATGGATTCGGTTTGTGTCTAATTCCTCTTGGGTGCTACTGAGGAGAGTCTGTCTAGCTCTTCTACACCCTCCCATCGTGTGTTCACACCTTACTGTTTGGTATGACTGCTTTTGCAACTTGAGCTGGCAACAATCTATACAGAAGGAAGAATGGTAATCCTTCCAATGGTTCTTGCTGCAGATCTATGCTTTAGCCTGGAAAACCTGTTGTTTCTGGAAGATCTAGAAGAAACTGGAAAAAGTTAGGATATTTTTCATCATGGGAAGTTTGAGAGGAAAATAATGCTTCATTTCATTTGGACCAAAATCAAATAATTACAAATATCTTGAAACCTGCAGTTGGCTCATAATCTTTACTGTATTTTATCTACACTGCCTAGACTGATCACATTTATACTTTTCTCCCCCTTGATGCATAATTTTACTTATCATTTTCTTAGACTAGTTAACTACATTATTAAAGCACAGTTGAAGATATTATCTGTAAAATCTTGGTGTTCTTTGCAGTATCAGGAACTGCTGTTAGCCAAAAACTTATTACAATTACATATAACACATAATAGCATCTTTCAGTATTTTCTAAGGTTTTTTGTCCATAACTCTCACCTTATAATCTTAATTTTCAGACATTTAGCATGAAAGTCAACAAGTAGTTGTGTTAGAACATATCTTTTCCACTATTTGACCCTTGGAGACAACGCTTCTTGTAGTCACAGTTCCATCTGTCTTCAGCTTTGATTTCCTGAAGAAGTTAATTGATTGTAATCTTTTTAACAGGATTTTTCAGTTTCTGTGACTCATTAGGGAATTCGCATCCCACATTGTAACCTTCCATGTCTCCTTGCAACTAAAATTTTTGGTAGGAATCAAAAAAATTTTACTTCAAGTACAGAAATCAAAACCAAGTAGAAGCATAATATAAATACTGTTTAAGAGCAGAATACTGGTTATGCCGTAAACTAATTGGGCTTGTATACTTACATAAAAATAAATACTCCACTAAAGCATAACTCACTCACTTTGAAACACCTTAGAGTTCAGTTTTTTAAGGTTTCTAGTTGTATTTTAAGGTACAAGAAATTTATGGGATAAGGACACTATGAAGAGTTTTAATTATAACATTTTTTCAACAGTAAATAGATTTGATTGCAAAATTTTATTAATAATGATTCAAAAATGAGTTACAAAGCTTTCCACAAGAAATCAATGCCTGAATTTTTTGTGGTATTTTGATTTTGAAAGCAGCTTTTATTTTTATAGTGAATTCTTTGGAGACTTGTAATTGACACAAGAAATGTCATTTAAAGTGCAATTAGTTCAACTGGAAACATTCATGTCAAAAATATTGTCCTTTCTCTGGATACTATAGACGCTCCACTACCATGAGAGATCATCTTGGGTGATTTTCATTCCCTTAGTTTAAGATTAATCTCATAATATTCATGTGTAGTCTTAAATGACTAAGTCTGACTTCTCAGAGGTTACAAGCATTTCCAATAAAATTGTTTGTTTGCGGGAACTTTTATTGTAACATGCACTCGTGCACTGAATGACAAATGTGGAATGAGGTTTTTGGATGGAATAAGTTATAAGAGACAGTTGAGTTGTTTGGGGGTTTTTAACTGTTATTTAGTTCTGGGTTTTTCTTTTCTGATCAGTAGGATTGCGATGTCTACCATTTCATTTCTAATACATTCGTTGATTTTGGCTTGTTACTTAAGACCACATTAAGATTTATAGCTGCATTTGCAAAGTGGCTATGCTAATTCAGACCTTAGCCAATTTTGTATTTGAATGCTAATCAGCATGATGTTATATTTTCATTTTGCTGTTCTCTTTTCCATTTAATTTTATTGGATATCACTGAAATTCATAGATATATTATGCTTAACTCCCAAAATTATAGTGAACTCTTAGCATTCAGAAGATTTTGATTTGGTGCTGAAAACATTTGTATTTACAGAATATAATTTATAATAGAACACATTTATTTACCTTTTTAATGAATATTTATATTTTTTTCAAATTTGGGATATGTTTACTGCAATAACTTTGGGTCAGCACTAATAACTGTACCATATGCCTCTATATTTCTGAACCAGGTGGCTGGCAATCATGTCTCCAGATGAGCAGTGGTTCAGTGACAGCAACAAAAAACCTTCTTGTGATGTGCACATATTGCTATAAACAATCCCTGTTTTCTTCTTTGACTTGCTTATTTCTGAATACCATTTTAGTATCAAACATCGTATTTTTAGATGATCATTCAGTATTGGATAACTAGAATTTTTTAATATATGATTGACAGCTATATATTACTAAACAAAGAGCATCAATATTAGCATTATCCTCTCTGCAGTTCTGGTTAAGTTGCTAATATTATACATCTCTTGCAAGAGTACTTGGCCTAGTAGGTGCTGTGTTATGTATTTCTCTAAACTTACATGTAGTCTGAACAAACCTATTTCCAGAAACTCTACTTTTACCTACCATTTTTTTTGTAGAAAGAAAACTTTTTCATAGTGTCAGTCGATCTGTGGCTGTACTTCACACATACGATTCTTTTCATTTCAACATATATTTTCTTTCCTTAGACTCCTAAAAATTTTTACAGCCAGTAGTAGAGTCAGCCTAAGATTTTCAAAGACTTTTCTTCAATGTAATCTCTGACTTTATAAGTACTAATCTTTTGCTCACAATATTCAACTACAAAGAAAGTGGTAAGGTAGTTTTCAGTGGTTTTTAGTTTTTCTCGTGGTTATAACTTCTGAGTTGCTTCAAGATATTAGTGTGCCTTTTTTTGCATATCCAATAAATACTGTATATAGTGTGAATTTCTAATACAAATGTTTTCCTAAGTGTCTCAAAAAAAACCCAAACCCAACCTTTGAATCCTTTCATTGGAAACTTCATACTATAAGTCAAAGAATACAGAGTTATTTATTTTCCTTAAAGTTTGAGAAGATAAAGTGACACATAGACAGTTTACCTAAGCTGGCCTGTTACTTTTTTTTCTATAGAGACATACATACAGAGAGAGAGATGTTTAAGAACATGGAGAGTTCTGATTTTAATGCAACTTCAGGCAGAAAGAATCATAGCTTTTTTCAGTCATAAATCTTGAACTTATATATAACCAATTGTTCTAGAGGAGAAATCTTTCTTTTATGAATAAGCTTGAATTAGTACTGGTACATGTAAAGCTTTTTTTTGAGACACTCCCATGCTGGTTTTATTTTGACTTTGTCTTCATTAAGAAACTTGGAATTTATACATTATCTCTTACACATCTTTAACAAGCTTTGAGACTTTTTTCTAAAGTTGTCTCTTGCTAAGTATAACAAAAATCCTAACTAGACTTTAAATGTCAGCCTAGAGCACCCTGTCACAGAGAACATGATAGACTGACTATAGTCCTAGACCATTCAGTACATTTTGTTATAGCACTTCTCTCTATGGATTTTGTTTTATTGTTTGGATGATATATATTTGTCTCATAAAAATAATTTCTGAAGCGACATTTCTTCTAAAAATCCTATTTACAGGAATATTTTTGATATACATTTAGAAGTACATTTTTATATCTACTAAAAATTCAGATTTGTCAGTATAAAGAGTTCTCAAAAAGAAAATTAAAGCTTGATGTGTTCTATGACTGGGGGTAGCAGCCTGAGCTGTAATACTTCAGCTAAACATTTTTGCTTGATTTGAGCTGATAGAAAATAAATACATTTCTCCCTGAATTGGTTGTCACCTTATGGAATGAGATAATTTTATGCATTATGCCCCCATTTTTCAATAAAAATAGTTTTCAAACCCTGCAATTTAGAAAACATTTATTAAAGAGAAGACAGTGGTGTTTCATGAGTTCTGTGTGGCTGTATGTATGGTATGTTTGCATGACATATTTAACCTAAGGAAACTTGTTTTACTGGAAAGGCAATTACTAATAAATGAGAAGCCATTAAGGGCAGCTTAATTCATAACTTTCTGTGATTACTGTGTCATTCCACAGTCTAGGTCCTTTCCAGCTATAGAGCAAAAGCATTTTTTGTTCACAAAAACAACCTCAAATTTCACTTCTATTCTTGAAAAGAAATTAAAAATTAAAAATTTGGTAAGAAATAACTAGATGATTTTTAAAAGTCCCTTCCAACCTAAACCATTCATAATTCAGATCATAATTCTATCATTCTCTTATCATTGAAAATGGACTGCGTGCAAGTGTTTGCAAGTGTCATCTAGACCACTAAAACACTTCATTACATAGATGAGAAATAAGAAATAATATACAACTTTTGATTTTCTCTATTCTAGTTTGAAAAAAAAGTCATAGAAATGTTGCCTTGTGCTTTTGCATATGGAAATGTCGCTGCTCCACCGAGGCAATGAGTCTATGTGTATGAATTCTCCTAGAACAGTCACCACATGTAAGGAATGCAAATTATGTAGTTCTGTCCCTAGAATATTCATTTGCTCACTGAAAAGTTTTTCTTCCCCTTGAATTACTCATTCACAGTGTATGGATCAACCCATGTTAACATCAGATAAGGAATGCTATCCTGACCAAATTTAGCTATTTTGTACACAGTAAAATGATTTTGTAATGTGAACCACTGTGTAAAAAGAAAGAGGGGGGGAAAGTATTTTGAAAGATTTACATAAATTTCTTTTTTCTCTGCAGACTCTTTTTAGTGAAACAGCTGTAGCTTGGATTTCATTGTGTGACCTTGGTGCTTACTGTCAAGCCCTTCAAATAGCTGTTAGATTTGGCAAGATTAAAAGGTAAGTGGATTATTAAATGTTAAAGCAAATAAGAAAACAGAAACCTATGTATTTAGTAAGCATTGTTATTAAAATTATGTATTAAAATGACTGATATCTTCCATGGGAGAGGCTCTGAAATCTTTTTCAAAATGTATTGCTTTGCTTAATTTGTTCCTGGTAGTATCTAAGTCATAAGTTAAAAAAAAACCCAGCAACAAAACCTCTATATAGAGGAAATAGAGAAGTGGAATAGCAAATAAATTGTTCTCTTTATAACTTGATATCATTAAAGCAAGAATTCAAGTTTTCAAATCTAGATGTGACAGGATGGTAAATGAAAAGGGGTCTAAAATATCTGCTTCGTTTGTGGATTTACAACTTAAGCAAATGTAGTTCTCCCTTTCTTTTCTTTTGTTTGGGGATTTTAGTTGTTTGGTTGGGTTTTTTTTCTAAAGCAGAAAACAAAAACTGGGTAACCTTAACTGAAATAATCAAGTGACATAGAAAGAGTTATTTAAGCACAAGGCCAACAAAGCTGTCTTGTCAAAGCTTGGTCATTTACATGATGCTGAAAGTCTTTTGTGAAATAAGCCTCAGTAAAACCAGTTTCATCAAGTATACCTATTTTACTATTTTGCTAGACAGGTTAGAGAAAGCATATCTATTTGATCAGTCCTTTACACTAGATATAATATGTAAAATGCTTACTTAAAACATTAATTTGCTGAACTAAATTAATGCTGTATAAATCAGCATTTCTTTTATCTCTAAGAGAGACATTTTTCATCCTTTACATATTTGTGGGTCAGATATTGCCTCAAGGAGAAAGAAAGTTTATGAATAATTTAAAAATTACCATTTTTGCATCTGATGAGAGCAGTAAGAAGCGCTTTCAATGCTGGTTACATACTCCAGGGATTATTGCTTATTAAAAGAAGACTTTCCCTTGTACTGGGTTCCCCAGTACAAGAAAGTCAAGGATGTTTTAGAGAGGGTCCAGAGTAGGGCTACAAAAACAATCAGAGTACTGGAACTCCTGTCCTATGAAGACAGGCTAAGAGAGGTGGGGTTGTTCTGCCTGTAGAAGAAAAGCCTTGAGGGGGATGTTATCACAGCCTTTCAATATATAAAGGGATGATTATAAGAAAGGTGCAGAGAGCATTTAACCAACTCCTGTACTGGTAGAACAAGGGAAAATGATTTTTCACTGAAAGAGGATAGGTTTAGTTTGGGCATACTAAAAAAATTTTTTATGATATGGGTAGTGATACAGTGAAACAGGTTGCCAGAGAAGTTATACATGTCCCATCCCTGGAAGTGTTCAGGTTGGAGGAGGTTTTATGTAATCAGATTTAGTGAAAGATGTCCCTGCCCATGGCATATGGGTTGGATTAGAAAGTCTCTTAAGGTCCTTTCCAGTCCAAACTCTTCTATGATTCTATTGTGTGTCTGTAATAAATACTTTCTGGAAATAGAATTCATACTTGGAACTTTAGGGAATGTGACCAAATAAGCTTTTGTTTGAATCTCATAAACAAAGTAGAAATCATCATAATGAAATACTAAAACTTAGAATAATAAAAGTACTAATTGTGTATTAATATTAGCATCAATAAATTGAAAGACAGAAAAGTCTCTGGAGAAAAAAATACCCCTACTGTACCAAACTATTAGGAAATTGTAACCGCAGATCTAATATTATGATGATGCTAGTTAGTCCATTCAGATTACTGTAAATTGATTATTGCACTATACCTTTATAACTTTTTGAAGTACATGTTAATAACTTCTGTGAAAACTGAACCCATAAGCTAATAAGATGTCATTATGTACATTTATGGTTCAGATAAAGAGACCAAGTTAAAATGTGAAAAATAATTTATTGCATGAAGAAAAGGTAAGGATCACTTAGGAACCAAGCATATATTTAGTGTTAATAAGTATCATGAGTTATTCAGTCTCTAGTGGTTGTGGCCATCAATGCAGGGAATTTTTTAATGAGGTGATGGAGACATGTTTCTGCTCTGTATTATTTTTTTGAAACCTTTTCTGTCTATTAGTACTAGCTCATTCTTCAGAAAAAATGGTTTGTAAATACATTCTTAGTATTGTTAAAAATTTATTTTCTCCAGTAATTGAACTAAATAAGTCACTGTCAGTAATCTGATGACAAGCAGTTGTTTCTAGTCCATTGAATTTCACTTACACTTGATTTACTATTAGTGTATGAATAAAAAAAGTTATTATAATTTAACAGAGAAAACAATTTTCCTGAAATAATTGTCAATATAAGAATATTTTGGTAATATCAGTCTGGTACTTAATTGTCAGGAATATGAGACATACTTATTCAGGTGATGAATTTTGCTATTCAGTCTTTGTGCCTGATGAAACTAATTCCAATTCACGCTCTCTCTGGTCAAAAGAAGAAATATGACGAGTCTTTGTAACTTCAAATCATGCAGTTTTCCTGGTCTCCGACTATACATGATCTGTTTTATGTATCTGATGGTATTACATTGCACTGCATTTTGCATAAAATAACACTCTGTATCTATTGTAAACATAAATTCATCTTTTTGTTGAGCTCAGGAGTTAAACCTTTAAGAAAGAGGATTTGATATATGAAATCACTTTCTACTTTCTATTTTGATAGGTTTATATACAGTCACTAATAAAATCATCAACACCTATATCCATGTATTGTTGTATACACCAGAAAGGAAGATATACAAAGCAAAAATGTGCAATATATTTTAATTGATTGGCTATAAACTCTCTGATGCATTTCAGGAGGTGAAGATAGTGTTTCTTGATGTATTTCAGGAATAAATCCTTTATATCTGATTAAAACGCAGATGACCATCATAAACTATTGTAATCTGAAAGGGTTGATCTCCTGATGCAATCTTCCATAGGCTTCAGGTTCAGAGCTCAGAGGGAATTTGCTATGATTACTGAATGCAATTTGGGTGCAGATGCAATCTCCCAACTTAAAACTCCTTATGTAAAAGAAAACTCCTTTTTAATATTTCTGATTTTAGAAAAATTCTGTGACTTAATAATAAAATCATTGTTAATGATAATAAGTTATGGAAATGCTACTGAAAATCTGCATAAGAACAAATGAGAAATATGAATTATTCTGAGATCAGTATCTAATCTAATATTTCAAATCTTAAAGTACTAGTAATGGTAATTCAGTAGTTTTTAGTTCTTAGGTTGTTTACTTAATACATAAGGAGACATATAATAAGCCAGAACTTAGTGCAAATGGTTTAAAGACTTATTTCTCTGTGTTTTGTAGATCATCTCTAGATTTTAACAATTGCGGACTAGGATGTTGTATTATGGAATTGCCTTACAAGATTTGTTTATGGAAGTGAAATGATCCTAAAATCTCTTATTTCTGAACATGGTTCTTGGGCTGTAAGAACCTGAGAGTAGTTTGTAGAGACTTTATCCCTTTAGAACAACCAATAAATGTGAACTTTACCATACCAACACTTGTAAATTACTAGGGGGACAGACATTTTTTGGAGTAACAATCACTAGACAAAAGAGACTAAATATTATGTGTCAGAGAGAAAAAAAATGTTATCAAAAAGGTCATTTCCTGTCGCTGATAATGTCGGAACGGCCAAAGCGACACGAAAAAAGGTTCCAGCAAAATTTATTCCAAGAAAAAAGCAGGGACAGCCACCCGGGGCTGCTGCACAGCCCCTTAAGTACAGTTTTTGAACACACGTAATGCACACGGATAGGACAGTTCAAACTTTCACACCAGAATTCTTACAGCTAATAGGTGCATTTTCTAAACTCTACTTTCTCACCACAACTTTGCTCTTTCTCAAAACAGCCCAGTTCTTTCCCACAACAGTCCCGAGCACCTGCTCTTATTTTTCTCTCATGTTGATGTTCTTCCCAACCACTCTCATTCAAAACAGGTCCTTGTTCTCATGAGACAGTGCTCCTGTTCTCATGAGACAGTGTTCTCTGTTCCCACAGGACAGCTTCTTCAGGATGCATCAGTATGTTGTCAGGATCAGGGCCTCCATTTTCAGTCCTCTCTTTCAGTCCATCTCAGGGGTATACTTTGATCTGGTCAACATCTATTGCTTCGTCAGTATGTGCCAAGGTGCTGACAGACCCGCTGTCACCCCTGACAATTTCCTAATTAACAAATGTTGACTAAAGGGAGCATAGTTATTTTTAATATGTATATATTAATATGTACATATTCATTTGTAGCAAGAATATAAAACTTGCTCTTTCAGTAAAATATTGTACACAGTTTCTGCAAAACAAATTGTCTTATTTGATAGCTGGCATGAAATGCAGGTAACAACAATGGTTTGACATTGAGAAATTAAGCTCAGTTATTTAGTGGCAGGAAACTGCACTCAATGAGCAGAGAAAAATATATATAACTCTCAGTTTGTAAAGAACAGTATTATTCTATAAAATAGTTGCCTGTCAAATGGAGCTTTCTTTAACTTCTGTTATGGAAAAAAGTAATTGCATATTCAATTCACTCTCAGTTGATTTTTTGATAGGCTGAATGTCATCATATGGTAAAACAATTTCCAGAAAATTGTTATTTTTTAAAAGAATATCTGAATAATCCTGAAACTGCAAGATTATTTTTTTTTTAGGTCCCTGGATTTACATGGTCATGCTTATGGCATGCTCAGGTACTCTTCTTGCTAGAGTACTATACCCTTGACCACTAGAATTTCATATCTTAGACTGCTGGATTGAAGAGGTAATTAATATGGAAGAACTGACAGTAGATAAAGACAGTAACAGAAACATTCCTGAGGGTGAAAGAAATTAAAGACTAAATGATCGTAGAAATTTTGTTTTTAGAGTGTATTTTTTAGTGAGTACGTGTACTTTTTATAAATACTTCTATTGCAGATAGTAACTAAATACTAATACCTCTCCAAGAGGAGAGAACATCACGGGAAAACCTCTATGCAGAAGAAAAACCAAAGATCTAGAAAGTAAATTACAAT